ACTTGTAAGGATTTTTGCATGAATCCATTCATACTAGAGGTCTATAGATAATGAAATATAGACCTTATGAATGCTGATAGTTTTGATTCACATGAAATGTATGTAATAGAATCCATACCGGGCCCATTCATCGATCGTTTGAGGTATAATATTTATATATAATTAAGATTAAATAAACTTTCGAATCTAATGGGTCTGCCCTAGGCCCACAACCAAACAAGGAACAGGACCCAAGGCGGAACCACCATTTCTAGGTCGACATGGTCTTAATTATATATAACTTTGATTTATACATCAAACAATCATAAATCGGACACTAGTAAATTTAATCTGAAAACAATCCCTGTCATGAAATTGATGTAACAAAGCGTGTCAATTTCATTGATATGACTTTTTATACAATATTGGGAAAAATTTGACCCAAGAGGAGTCTATGCTACATCAATGTATGGGAAAATTTTGACCGCCTAACTGATCCCGGAAGTGTAAACACTTAAATCGCGAGATCGGACATAAAATACTAGAAAATAATAGTAGTATTTATCCGCAAACTGGGTTAAACTGAAGCGAGCAGTGCAGACACTACTTGCGGTGGTTGAAGCTCTGAGGATCACGAAATGAAGACACGAAGTTCCTCATTCCTGCTATGGATTCTGCCGCTTGGCGCTCTGCTTCTGCCAGACGTCCTTCTAAAGTGGCTCGATGTTCTCAGAGCTCTCGTACTTCGGCTTGGGTCGTGGCCATTTCCCGTCGAAGAACCTCGGTGCGGTCTCGAGTTCGATCGTGATCATCATCCAACCGGCGAATGCGAACAGAGTTGACTTGGCTGGTTGCACCAATTTCCATGAGGTGGCAGAGTTTTACTCTTGTTTTCTCCTCGTGGCGTGCGACACGGTGAACCATAACAGGAAGGGCTCGGTCAGCTGACCCTCCTCTGCTGAGGTCGTAAAAACCTCGTTGCATGCCATAGGGAGGTCGTTGACCTTGCTCTCGGCTCCATCGATGTATAGTTTCGGCCCATTAGGGCGTCGGGCCTTGGAAGTGTTGCGGAGGAATAGGGGCAAGGTGTGGATTGTAAACTTCGGGTTTGGAGTCGGTTCCATCTGAGTCTTCTTCCTCTTCTCCGTCCACAGATTCTTCCTCTTCCATGGGTTCCTCATCCTCCATGGGTTCTTCTTCGGGATCTTCCTCTGGGTCTTCCACAATCCAACCGACATTCCCTTGGTTGGGGAAATAGGGATCACCCGGTAAGTGAAATCCTGCCTTTGCGCCTGTACGAGAATAGGGATAAGAAGGATATCGCGAGAAATTTTGGGAAGAAGTTAGTTATCGCAATTTATAATGTGGTTATTACGGTTTTTGAGTTAAAATACTCCTATAGTATTTTTATGTTTGATCCTCAAAGTTTTTGGTAAATTGAAGACTTGTTGCTCATCATGATCCTTCTTCGGCATACATTAGTCCTACCTTGGCTAAAGATAGTTGATCATGCTATATTCATCCAAGATCTGACTACATACCCCGAAGCTGAATCATGGTGTTCAACTTGTCTTGATACTTTTATGTGATTGCCATTATGATACTGAATTAGTATGTGCGATTGTGCGGAATACTTTTATAAAAACATTAATTTTTATTTTAAAGTATTTTTGAAAAGCTATGTCAGAGAATTTTTTCCCGATGTATTTATAGTTTGTATATCTTACGTGGTTCGATATACTTAGTTCACTATAAACAAAGCTTTGATACCAATCTGTCACACCCCCAAACCGGAACGGCGGAAACGTTCGGGGGCGGAGGACGTCATGTTCAGTATCATAACCATAGTGAAGAAAGTAAACACAACCATCATACATATAATTTAAAAGGTTACATCGTTTCAAAAGTATATGTTTCCAAATAAATTACATATGATGTCAAAATATAGCAAAAGAATCTACGCCTTAGCGTCTTGACTTCAAAAATCTTATGATTACCTATATCACTGATTACCTGAGAATACAAGTTGTTTTGAAAGAGTATCAGCATAAAGCTGGTGAGTTCATAAGCAATTTATGAATGAAAAATGAATGATGTTCCTTTTTGTTTGTTACAAGTTTGTTACCAGAAAATCCAATATTTTCTAAAAGGTTTGTTGTAGTCTTAACTGGACCAAGACTTAGTATATGTAAGTAAATCGTCATACTTATGTGTGTGGTTTTATATTTAAATAAAACTCCTTAACTCCCCGTGAACTGTGTGTTTTGTTAATTCCCCATGTGAGATGTTATAACCATACTATAAACTAAAAAAGACCTCGTACTCGACGTTCTTCAAGCGTCGGAATATTATGACACTTGTCACCCCAGACCTGCCGGTCTAGCTGTTGCAAGCAGCTTAGGTGCGGGTTTGTCAGACCCGATATAGATCTATACACAACTATCACGCTCTCCCTCCAGGAGATTCTGATTATAACTACAGGACTTTTCTGTGGCACTTAAGAGTACCCCGAAGGAGGATGTCTCACAAATTTATTCATTAACAAGCTCACGTAATTTGTAATGAAATACTCGGTTTGTAAATCGTTTGTGTTACTGTTTTCTTTGTTAAACGAAGTGCTCAAACTATACCTATTATAGTTTATCAAAAGTGTTGTGTGTTTGAATGAAACCTTGTTATGCATGTCTTTGTATTTCAATAAAATGACATTGAAACTACTAAAATGTAAACCTTACACACCTTGCTCAACATGTTACAAGGTGTAAATAACTAATAAATTTTGTGTTTGACAGTTTTACCCTCAACTGTCACTGTTTTAGAATAATTATAGAAAAATCATCGTAAGTCGAAAACTGAATCCGTAAACTCTGAGTGTTTGGAAAAAGAGTCTACTATGTTCATAAATGTTTTTATAATTTTTGGTGGTCTCAAACCAGTGCGAAAATGTTCATCTTCACAACCTGGTCCGACTTTGATGCTAAAGTGATAGGCAGTTTTGTAAAAATCACCATAAATTGTAGAAAAATCATATGGAGATGTGCAAGTAGTCATTTTAAAGGTATAAACCTGAACTATTTTCATATTAAACAGTTTTGAAAAATATTAAGTTTAAGTTGGGTAAAACAGTTCGTGAACAGGTCACAACTTTTCTGTTGTAAGCTGTTAAGTTAAGTTTTAAATATGTTTTGGTGTTTTAACTTGTATTCCCCCCCTGAAAACTAAAGAAAACTTGAAAATGTAGGGGTATGAACTCACCTTGAGTGATTTCTTGAAGAATTTAAGGTCGAAGACGAGGAGTATCAAGTCAAGAACACTTGATGAACACGCGAAAGCTTGGGTGATCCTAAGAACGATTTTTGGTGTTAAAATGTGGGTTGATGATTCAAGAGTGTTATGAAAATATGGAATAATACTTGAGTTTAGATGGAAAACTTACCAAAAAGTGGAGTAATAGCTCAAGAACACTTCCAAAAAGTGGCTGGAAGTAGAGAGAAAAGAAGCTTTCTTGAAGGGTAAGAGGAGTGTGTAAGTGAAGGAAATGATCAAAGTAAGCCAAGAAATCCTCCAGGGATTTCTTTATATAGATGTTGCTGGAGCAAGTTGCAAGGATGAGGGGATGTTTGCCTTGGTTTGTGTGATGTGGATAAGGTTGGGCCAATGGGAAGATGACACATGGAGACAAGTGAGCACACTTGACCCACTTGTGGGGTAGAATACTCTTCTTAATATAAATTAATGATTTTTAATTAATAAATCCTTGAGAAATGAATAAAATATGAGTTCAAGGGGTTTAAAATGGTAAAAATATGAATTTGGTGAAAAATCCCCGTCAAAATCGTCAAAAACGGGCTTAGGAAGCGAAAGTAGTCGAAAATCGGGCTTAAGGAGCAAACCTGCGAGGTTCGGCTCTTGGAGGTGCTGAGGACCGAAGGTAGGGGAAGGAACCGAGAGAAGGGAGAAGGGACCGAAGGTGGGTCTCGGTCCGAACTGGTGAGGGAAGCGAAATAGACCGAGGGCTCGGTCTATTTCGGTCTACTGAGGTTCGGTCCGAGGAGTCTGGTTCGCTTCTGACATCTTCGGTTCTGACAGCTTCGGCCCTAATAGAAGGGTTCGGTTCCTAAGAGGGGTTTCGGTCCTATTTAGCTGTTTTTCAAGATAACTCCCCGTTTTAAGTGGTTTTTGGCCAAGTTAAGGGTCGGGATGACCCGGACGGTCATAAAAAGTTGAGAGAGATTTGGGAGAGATTTCACATACTTGGAGAGATTTGGGAGAGATTCCACATACTTGGAGAGATTTGGGAGAGATTTCACATACTTGGAGAGATTTGGGAGAGATTCCACATACTTGGAGAGATTTGGGAGAGATTTAATTTTAGCCATTATTATCGCGTAATCTCGTAATGCAAGGTTCGTGGAGCTCGTTATGCTTTGTTTATGATTGTTTTAAGTCCCCGAAAGGGTCCTTAGTCGTGTTTTGATGCGTTTAACTCCCCTTTTTAGGGTTTTACATTGATAAACACATAGATTCTCCGAGACACTTGAATTCTTGACATACAAATGCACATTTTTATACATAGAATAAGTTTTAACATACAAGTGCTAGTTAAGTTTGACCGGTTTGACTTGTTGACTTTGACTTGAATTTGACGGTTGTCACAAGTACTACCAAATGTGGAGCATAGAATGTGTGCAAGACACATATATGCTAACTTTAGGAAGACCTATACGGGAGTGGAGTTCAAGAATATGTTCTGGGCAGCCTCATTTTCAACTATAGAGAGTGATTTTCTGAGGAAAATGGATGATATCAAAGAGGTCAATCCCAATGCTTATGAACATTTGCTTGCAAGACATCCTCACACATGGTGCATGGCATATTTTAGGACTGATGTAGCATGTGAGGCAGTTGAAAATGGCATTGCAGAGTGCTTCAACGCCATCATATTGGATGCTAGAAAGAAACCCCTTTTAGCATTTTTTTTTGAAGAAATTAGGTTGTACATGATGGATAGGTTCTACCATATGTTACAAAAGGCAGAAAAGTGGGAATCAGTTGTTTGTCCAGCTTCTATTAAGAAAATGAACAAGTTTGGAGTGGATTTGAGGTTTGTCTTAGCATTTTTATTGTTCCTTATCATCATTCTTCTAATTTCATTGTTCTGATTTCATTTAGTAATGTCATTGTAGGAATTGGAATGTGAATCCAAGTGGACCATCTATTTTTGAAGCCAAGAATGGATTTGAAGGGTACGTGGTTGACTTACAAAGGAAAGTGTGCAGCTGTAGGCTTTGGGATATCTCAGGAATTCCATGTGTACATGCACAGTGTGCAATATTATTCACTGGACAAGATCTTGTTCAATCCATAAGTGAGTGGTTCAATGTGGACAGGTTCAAGGCCATATATGCAAACAATATACTACCTGTGAATGGTAGAAATTTATGGCCTAGAACTACATACACAAAGCCTCTACCCCCTTTAGCTAGAAGAATGCCAGGGAGACCAACTCTAAAAAGAAAGAGACATGTCATTGAATCTCAAGACAAATACTCCCAAAATAAGATGAATGTTACTGGAATAGGAAGGACAGTCCAATGCAAAAACTGTCTTCAAAGGGGTCATAACAAGGCATCCTGTAAGAATCCCAAGGTCACACCAGAACCTAAACCCAAGAAAAAAATGGGTAGACCAAGATTGGATCTGGATATCAGTCATTGGACTAGAGGTGGTTTAAGAGGTGGTGTTAGAGGTAGTAGATGTGGTGCAAGGGGTAGTAGAGGTGGTACAGGGGGTAAGAGAGGTGGTGCAGTGGGTAACACAGGTGGTGCAAAGGGTAACAGAGGTGTTGCAGTGGGTAAGGGAGGTGGTAAAGGTAGTAAAAGAGGTGGTAGGGGCAGTAAGACATCTGTTGGAGTTGATGATGGTGGAGTGGCTCAAGTTGAAGGTGGTGGAGTGGCTCAAGTTGAAAATGAGGATGACACTATTCCTGAAAAATATTTAGTCCATCTATGGAAGGCAATGCAAGATTTGAAACTATTCGGGTATTCAATTGAAGAAATTAAAAATACCCTTAGTCTGACAGATTCACACGTGAAACAACTCAATGATTACAATGACACTATTGAACAAGTTCTTCCTATGTCTATGGTAAACCCTCTATATTACCTTAATGTTAACATTCATTTATGTTATTAATTGCTTGATGTTTTACAGGAATAGGAGTATCCACCTCAGACTGAGACAGAAGATGTGGATGAAGAAATTATCCCTGAGACACAACCAGAACAACCAGAAAGTGAAGAAGAAGAAGAAGAAGGCATTGACGACACCCATGAATTACCAATACACCTTAGGATTGTGAAAAGAAGAAGGCCCTCTGAGAGGATTGTTAAAACCAAGCTGAAGAAGATCGGATGTGTTGGGACTTCTGCAAATTCAACCCATGGCTCTGATACCACTGTTGGGTTTTGAGCATACTACAACATCCTATGGTGCACACACAGCCCTAAATACCTTGGATCTATGTTTTCTCTATTATACATGCAAATATGAAGTTTCCAAGATATTACCCTATACTAGCATACAAATATCATATACTTGGGTAATAAAATAAATAGAATACATACCTTGTTGTTGTTGCTTGACTCCATGAAGCTTGAGAGCCTAGTGCCCCAAGTGTGACACCTCAAATGGTTCACACAACATCATGAACACTTGGAATAACCATGAGAAGAAGACACTCCAAGCTCAAATTGACTAGCCCTCATATGTGTATTACTTGTGTCAATTTCTTGAGCTAAAGGGGTCCTTATATAGTGTGCACATTAGGGTTACACCATGTAACCCATGACTTTACCCATTCCTTATGCTCCATGGGTTTTAACCTCCATGGAGTATCCATGGACCACCACATGGGTTAAACCCAACATAAGGAATCTTGGATCATAAGCCCACATATATAAGAATGAATGATTTACACAATCAATCCCCATATATTTAATTAGTCTCTTTTGATCAATAAATTAAGTCCAAATTTATTCTTGATCAATACTAATTAAATAACATAATTTTATATTAATATATTAGAACTTATAACATATTAATATGTCACAAATGTCCTCTTCTCACAAACGGTCTATCCAAATGTCCCGATGCCATGCAACCCAAATGGACCATGCCGAGTCGGGTCAAGTCTTACCAATTATAGTTATGGACTTAGACACTAATCCAACAGTCTCACACTTGGATAAGTCTAAAACTATTATTGCGTATGACTTCAAACCTAACTGGCAATCGTAGCTCTCAAAAGCTGTTGTCGAACTCTGACCTTGTCGATGAACTCTAACCTTTGTCAATGACTTGTCCATTAGATAAGGGATCATATATTCCTCCATTCTAGATATCATATGGACTGAGACATGGATTATCAATCATTCTCTCTTTCCATTTGTTGTTTCCCGATTTCCGATTTATGATGACTGACTGATTGAACAAATCAAATCAGTCCTGGCTTGGCCAAGCACTCACATGTGTCATCACTAAATCATCGAGGGGCCCACAGATATCGCTTTTATCCCGAAGGTAAAAGGAATGTATAAACTTCGACTCATATGGCTTGTTCTACTACTTGTTGAATCATACACAAATGCACGTTTTATAACATCGAGTTACCGAATGCGTTTTCGTGCAATCAATGTACAACCAACTCATAGTAACAACTCATATCTCTAGGTTTGAAGAATATAAGATATTATCGTCTCATGATCACTCGTGATAAAATCCATGAAGTGATTCAAATGAGCGCGGGTTGAATCCAATACTCAGAACTTATGAGCACTCATGAGTGTTGTAGCACAACTTTGTCCACCAACTTGGACCTCTACAAGCCAACCCATGACAGTCTTGATTCATATCTACTTCCAACATATGACCGACTGTGGATGGTTTGAATAACTTAGTCATTCCGGAAGAATAACCTAGTTATTATGGAAGTCAAAACATGCAAAGTGAAACACAAGAATAAATGAATCAAATATGGTATCAAACCCTATGAATATAAATAGACCACTTTTATTTATCACCATACTGATTACTCATTATTCATTGTTTCGGTTTTATCAACTTTATACCTGAATTAAAAACACTAGTTGTCCCATGCTCCAAGCATGGACACTATGTTTTTCTAAACAATAGCTTTGCCATACACCAAGTATGCACTCTATGTTCATCTATGATCCTTTTCTTTGTGAACTAGATCAATTGAACATAATTTCAATGATTCTCTTTTCACACTCCCAAATCCTTGTCGTAAATGTAAGAATTCCTAACATTTATCGAAATCTGTTTAGATTTTAAACTTATATGCACTGTTCCTCTTGTAATGATTATGCACAAAGCCACAAAGACTTGGCAACAATCATTACAGAGTATTCCAATGGAGAGCAATTCCATGGAAACGATGTCTCAAATTCAAAGCGCATTGCTTTGAACATGCTTCTTGCATTAAGTTTCTTTAACCTTACACAGATTGCTTCCTTCTATGAAGACAACTCTATATTCCCATTTTGACTACAACTTCTGAACAAGAGTTGCCTCTTTTCAGACTATGTCAATATGGTCCTTCCAATATTAACAGTATACTTCCAACTGTCCTTGAGCAACCAATCTTTGGTAAACCTTAGATTGTCCTCGACAATTGCTTAATCACTTTAGTCATATCCAATTCTAGACATTTTCCTCCTTAATGCCCCAAGGCATTTGGAAAATTCAGAAAGGATAAATATTATAGCACATGTAATCGATCTTGTACCCAAAGTAAATGGGACACGATTCATGATGTGTCACATAAAGACATGGTTCTAGACCAGTCTTTTGCCATAATAATTTTTTGTTTGCCATATTCTCAAAATTTGACTATGAAAAGGGATGCCGTAATCATAATCGAATTTTGAGAACACAATATATAGAATTTTCTTAAGTTGAACCAAACCAACATAAAATTCGTATATATATATTCTTGACTAAGATGATTAAAATCTCAATCTAAGCCTTTTAGAATTGAAATGAAGTATAATTTCCTCTCCCTTAATTATAGCAAAACAACTTTTTCAACCCCTGGAACCTCACGAATTGAAACTTTTGTTTTCTATAATTAACATTGCTAACTTGCAATACTTGTCATAATTATCATGCTCCCACTAACATGATGATTATTAGCATAACACTTATGCTCCCACTAGCTTTGACATGTATCCAGAAAACAGCTGGACCTCTAAAAGTCAATACTTTATTGACATTCTTACTAAAGTTCAGATTTCTGATACTAGCTTGCTTTGATAAGGCTTTATCAAAATTATACACCTTATCTTAGATAGCTCACAGGTGTGTCTAAACAATTTCAGAACTATGAAAAGGGATGTCGTAATCATAGTCTCAATTGTTTAGACATTTGCCATTTCTCATAAGTCCATGTTAGTGTGCCGGTTAACCACGCACGCTCCACTAACGACTTTGAGAACTGCAAATATCACAATTGCTATCTACTTAAAATCTACTTAGTGAAAGAATTTCCTCACCATCAATTTCATGAATCGGAGAGAAACCTTATGACACTTAGATTTTATGGTGTATGTGTTCTTATCCATGTGAATTTGTCAAACCATAATCACAAGACTAGGTTAGTGACAAATCCTAACTCATATGGATTGAACTTGTGCAATCTTAACCTCTTGCCACCTGGCAGCACAAGGGCCTGCCATTGCTTCCAAGTAGCTATGCAAACAATTGAGAACATGTAGAACTCAAATGTATAGCCAACTTAACTGGAATGGGCATAGAAATGTCAACACGATAGGTTATAAACCTCTAGTTGTGTGCTAGTGATGAAATACAGGGTTTATTCTTGATTACTTCTTCAAACCCTTTCAGGATCTTTTAGACTCCCACTGTCTCCTTGACCTATAAGACTTTCTTGCCAAATATTCAAGAGATAGTGTGGATTCTAATCAAGACAAACACTTAACACAATTGGCCTAAGTTGGTCTCTGTTTTATCCAAAACATCACAACTTACCAAATTCAAATGTACAAGAGTAGAAAACCTTTTACTCTTACATTTCACTAGTGTTAATAAACCTTCTTTAAGATGTGTCACTCAAGTTACATTTGTGGTGGGCTTGATCAGTGCATAAGAATGTGTACTCGATCCCTTAGTCCTTTACTTGACTCACACATCCATGTGAACAAGTAATTAGTCTTAATTTTCCAATGCTTGAAAGTTCTCATTCATCATACTATACAACTTGCATGATTCCAAGTTTCGGTCCAATTGAAACTTGGGTGATGAGAAACTTTCTTTATTTGGTAAATTTAGACACTACCACAAATGAAAGAATCGAAACCATTTTCCTATATTACTAGCAATGGAATCATATAAACAACAATTTTTTTCACAAATACCATTGTAAGGATACTTAAAATAAATAAAATCAAAAATTTCCTTTTATTTTAAAAACTTTGCCGAAAAACTTATCCTTACAATCCATATGAAAACCTTGTTGTTATATATTCCTAAGCAATGTGTCATAACTCCTAAGTAACAGCTTCAAAATTCTGATGCGATCGAAGTCCATCTTCACGATCAGAAGCAGCATATACTTCCTTTAAGCTTTCTCTCTTTTCTTTGATTCTTATAACATCACCATGTGACTCAGTCACATTATGTAATAAGAATCTCCAAATAGGAGCTTAACAGAGTTAGACAATGGACTTTACCTGAAGTAGAGTCAAACTTATTGACTTTAACATCCTTAGTTAAATTTGGCAGCTTCGCAAACAGTGCCCCTTCCTTTGGCAATTTTAACAAATGGACCCTTTGGTAATGGTATCACAGACTTAGCTTTTCTCTTTACCATTTGGTCAACCGAGTTGACTATGGCCGATCCCTTCCATTGGGAAGAGAATGCTTTTTCTGGATTTCCAGTGTCATCATAGTCAATGTCCATAAAGTTTTGGGAAGTCGATCTTCTAATCAAATTTGCTTTACTAGCCTTCCAAATCATAGCTGATTCAGCAGTACCAAGCAAATAGATAAGATCATTAAGGGTCTTGTCATAGTCTGTTTCATAGGAGTCCCAAAGGACCTCACTATGTGACTTAGAAAGTGATTGAACCACCAACTTTCTCAAGACTTTGACACCCAACTCTCCCGGCTTGTCAATATGTGACTTCATCTCCAAGATGTGATCACACCTAGACCTTGCCTTGCCAATAGGGCTTGAGTGACCATGAACTTGTGGGTTAGGGAGAATAATTGGAGGAGGTGGAGGAAGTGAAGTTCCAAGAGATTTGGGAAGATCATAGACGTCTGAACTAGACATCTTTTGGGAGATATTCAAGTTTAGTTGATTTAAAGTCCTTAATATAACACCCAATATGAAATATTAAGGCTAGGACCCAACAACCTATTTATAA